GAATACAACTGAGAGTCTGTACTTTATGTGTATACAAGAATACAACTGAGAGTCTGTACTTTATGTGTATACAAGAATGCTGTTGAGAGTGTATTTTGTGTTTATACAGGAATGCTCCTGAGAGTCTGTAGTTTGTGTGTAATTTGCCTCCGTTAACTCATATTTTTAGTGTAGACACTTGCCCACTATTTTATTAATATTTGTAGTTTTTATCCATGTATGTTACATATAATGTATGCTTTTTAAACTAAGGCCGATAATATGCTGAACCAGCTGAAAAAATTAAGAGCAGTATAATTGTTGTTTTTTTACATTTTATTGAAATCAAACAATACTTATTATTTGTTAGTTTTATGAATGTATCATACATGCCATGATAGTTTTATGACAGAAGTAGATGGTTGCCAAGTTGAGTGGACGGTCGTTGAGTCCGATAGTCTAAAGCTACTTAATACATATATGTTCATCATTATGTGATATTAGATCTTGTTGACAGTTTGACACTATACTCTTCAATATTTACATCTATTGTAATAAATCAATGACACAATTTTAACTATTATTAAAAGCACATTAAAAAAGTTACAGTTGTTAACTGCCTGACATTAACCACCCTAATTTAGAAGTTAACTTGTATTATAATAACAAATATAAAAGTTTTGCAGAGATGAAAAAGATGCAGTAAAATAAATGATGTTGTTAGATCAACATGTTGAGGATAGATATAAAAATGATACAGCTGGACATGTAACTTAGATGTAGTGGTACAATGTCCCGTAGTTCAGGAAAGAATATAGTGAAATGTAGGCACAGATCTAGAATGACTTCAGCATTAAATCATCTGACGGGAAAATATGTCGTTCCCAGTGAAGGAATATCTTCCAGGATATGTGGCAGAACAATGGAATATTGTTCAAGCTTCTTCTCTACCTTCATTATCTGAAAGTTCATCAGCTGGTTGTTCATTCAGTTTTAATATTCTGTGTTCTTACCACAAATGATGTTTTACTTGGACGTATGAAATTAGAGAAAGCCTGAATATGTGTATCTTAATGAGATCAAAACTTCTTTATCATACACTCATACATTTTAAGAAAGCTGGACCTGAATATTGATGCTGTGAGCTAATGAAACATGGTGAGTTTTACCTGTTTTTGGATCAGTGGGGTACTTTCTTGGGGCTCTTGAATGAAAGAAGGTTAATTCTTTCTGGGCTGATCAATTGACTCCAATATTGACCATGATATCTTGAAAAGAATCCTTCAGCTTTACATAACAGAAACCAAAGGTTAAGCTAGAAAGGAGGAGGGGCTTCATATGTGTTCTGAATGATAAAATGATATTAATAAGTCTGATACATTTCTATGATTTTCATGAAGTCATATAAACCGCATGTGTTGCAGAACAGTGGAGATTTCAGATGTTGAATTACTGATATAGACACCTTTCACTAATATACATGCTTTAGGCCATCATTATGAACTCGGGGTGATATGCGATGAAGGTATTGTGAGTTAGGCTCTAAGAATGTACTATAATCATGCAAGATCTTAGTACAATATGAACATGACAGTGGGTTTTTTTTTTGTTGTTGTTTTTTCAGTGTTAAACTTCAGAATTTAATTGGTGTTCTTGACTAAAGAGGAGAAGTAGACATAGTAGTCAGAATATTATTGGTAATGACTGGTAATTAGCACCATGGTTTGACTTTTATTAACAGCTTGGTTTATTGAATTATGATGGCTGTGTATTGTTTAGGTATAATATTTTATTTTGTAAAATAAAAATATGAAGAGGTAGACTTGGAATTTATTTTAGACGTGGTTGATTTTTGAAGTTCACTTTGGAAAAGACCTTTTTAAAAATAACCTTTATATATTTCCAGTTCAACACTTGAGTAGGAAAGTCTACATTTTCGAAGTGTTTGGATTGTCAGGTTTCTTTGATTGTGATACATCATGTGCTTGTTGTAAGAGCCTAATGTAAAAAGTTTTTCTAAACTACAGTTTAAAAAGGCAATCTGCCATTGTATTCAGGTGTATTATGTTTTACAGAATTCAGTTTCAGAAAACACTGTATATATGTATAGCTTTCTACCTTGAGTATCTTGTATTGATTGGATTCTATATATCTTATGTCATTCTTCACTACACTTGTTAGCTGTTGATTGAGTTGTAATATTCATGTAATGGGTAGCATGTATGTAATGTTGTGAGACTTTTGTACCATAATAACTCTGCTACTTAGTTTATGTATATGTTTGTCTGTTTTGAAACAAAGTAATATAAGTAGGCTTACTGGATACAGAATGTACAGAAGATCGTTTGTGACATATATATATATATGTACTTGTAATTTAGAGTGAATAAAATGCTTTCTGCTTTGGATGTAATGATATAGCTGTTTCCAAGCTTCTCTTGTAACGACTTTATCAGCAGAAAAGACATAGTTTTTGTTTTAGCATTATACACGTTACATTTTAACTGTGAATTTTGAAACTTATTTCACTACAGTTGTGTTATACAGTTTACTTGCATACTGTGTTTAAAACCGTGTGTTTTAGTTTGTACTTCGAGTAAAAGAATTTGGCTCCTGTATCATCAAGCGTGGATCGTAAACGTTTTATTAATAATAACGTCAACTCTGAGTCATAAATGATATTGAAATTTAAATGTAATGTGACAACTTTTTTTTTAGGCTTCTTGAAGAGATATTCACTTCAAAAGTTAAAGTTTTCTTCTTTTCCATAAACATTAACCTTTACTGTGTAATTTATTGAAATGCAAAGTAAGTATTTTTATAAACTGAAACTAGCAAAGGATTACACGCCTTTTTATATATCACAAAGTTCCTGAAAACTACATCAGTATACAGCGGGAAAAAGGTAATAGATAATACAGGGTGTCCGAGAATTTTGGAAACACTTGAAAAATCATACCAGAAAAACTATTTAACAGAGACACATTTTTTTTTACGACACGTGAATGTGTGAGAGACAATATGAAAGTGAGTGTCTGGGTTATTTTTTGTAGAGGCAACTGTTACGGGTAACCCATACTTTGACATTCAGCAGAATTTTGCTTTCCCACAAGTTAAAACATTACAACCTAACGTGTTTTTTTTTCAGCAGGACAGTGTCCCTCCATTCTGTTACAAGGTTGAATTACGTCGACGTATCCAAAAAAACATTCACAAAATTTACTCCTGCAATGTTGCAAAACATTTTACAAGAGATTTAGTATAATTGTGCATGTAACTAGTGATGCACACGTTGAGTTATGGCGATTGTATGATGTAAAAAGAAAAGTAAACATTATTAGTTTAAACAATATTCTTGCAAATGCAACAAACCGTGTTAAATGGTTTTCCCAGAATGATTTTTTCAAAAGCGTTTCCAAAATTCTTGAACACTATTGTATTGCTTACATCTCAACAAGAGTTTAGGTATTTGTGTGTTGAATTATACAGTGCAACACGAGAACATATGTAGCACTCTATGAGTTTGATTATGATGTGCTAGGCATCTCCATGCAGTAACTATTGTTCAAAAGTCAGTTTCTGTATATTATTAAAAGTATTGGACAGTCTGATGTGTGTGTTTAAAGTTTGTTGTTTTTTAGCCACGGCTC